TCACAAGAAGAGAAGAGATCGAGAGAAGAAGAACTCTTGGAGATCCATCCCCTCTCTTTCGCCCCGTTTCCATTTCATTCACCGCGATCATCACGATAATGAGATAATTTCCAAGTTGTAAAATCAGGGTTTGTAACTCTATTCATATCTATCTCGAGATTGTGACTTGTTTAGTCATTCATCTTATTGTGGGATCTTCGTGATATTATTGAGATGATTTCCCTTTGACCTATAAATTGGTTGGTTATCCTCCTCTTGTACGTGAGTAATCCCCCTAGGTGTGGGAGGTGTAGGGGATATGTGAGATTCATTTGTGCATAATCTATATAACACAATTTCTGGTAATAGTTCTATGATTGTTCAATAAGTTGTGTTATTTGTGGTGAACGTAATGCGTGTTGTTCAATTTAAGGGCTCATGCAAAATGATATGAAGACCTACATAGGTCAACATATTGTTTATCGAATTTCTGACCTCTAGGTGACATGTGTTGGTATCTACGAGAAGCATAGAAAATATGAGATAAGGGATTCGTGAAACGTAATGCATTTTTCCGGTCTTATTACCTTAATAGGTGATTGCCCGTGCGTTGCTACGGGAGTATATAATCTAGTAGTTCTACCATGTATATCTTTATGGCACATTTTTGTTGTTCTAACATATATCTTTAAGGCACATAAGGCCGCATTGTTGACTTATTTTTACCATTAAATCATTTATTGCTCCTACTTTCTCAGGAGTTGCTAATGTAGATGAATTTAAGAATTTTCCATAATGTTTCCTCCAAACAAGCTATTCCTCCTACTTCATCTCACTCTAGCAGGCACCAGGCATTATGCATCCTAGCTTCTACCTCCCTTCAAAAGATAGAAAATGGAATGTGCAAACAGTTAACATTATTTAGAAAAGAGCAAATGCAAGATTCTCGGGAAGAATGTATGGCAAATGCTTTACTAATGCTGGGAATTGAACAAGTTCAGGTAATAAACATGAAGACAAAAATGTGCAAGCCAATTGGTGAGGGGAGTCATCTGGAAGATAGTGCACACCATCTTCTCATGTTTCGTAAAAATTCTTCGGTGGCTTCTAGCAATATTTATATCCATGCCTTGTTGCCCAACATCCTTTTTATATACGGTGTAGATCATAATGTATATATCCATCCTTTTCAAATAGGAGAAGAGGCAAATGTTCTATGCTAAAACAAAGTTAGTTATAGCAGATATTTCTCATTACATAATATTTCAAGGTCGCTTTGTATTGCATAAAAAGTGTTGAATAGAAAGAAAATGCCATGGATCAACAGAGGAGTATTATTCCAGAAGCTGAAAAACTACAAGAGAAAAGTATTCTCGGGGTGTAAATCTTCTATAAATTTATTCAAAAACTCATGCAGGTTACCACATAAAATTCTTTTAACTGGATAGTTGCCACAAATTGAAAATATATCTATGCACAATTGAGGTGGATCGTACCATGATAACATTGTGTTATCTCATTTCTCAAAGATATCAACAACCCCATGAGAGAGAAAAATCTAGCTGGGAAATGCATATGCATCCTAGTTGTAGATCCATTGCATAATATATCCCGACAGCGAAAACAATTGTTTTCCCTAGGTGAATATTCTGTATCCTGCACATGAGATGCATAGTGTCAATGGAGTACGAAGCTTGTAAAGCACATTAATATTTCAAAATGTAAAAGCAATTACTATGCACCATGAATTACTAACTTTGATTCGGTACATAAGCATTAAACTTCCTTTTATGAGGAAGAGTCATTGGTGATTAAGTGGCAACTCCACTCCACTGGAATTATTGTCAAGTTGAGAGGATACCGAAGCTGAGTTACAAACATAAAAGAAATGAAAAACAAAGCATATACTTTTGTTTGGACAATTGTACAGTCTGATTACACAGAGGTAGAGAGAACGGTTAAAGGAAGGAATATAAGAGATTACCTTCCGTGATTGATTTGACTTAATTGTGTTATATGCCTTAACCAAATATCGTATTAATTGCCATCCGTGAATTGAATGAATTACCAAATATTGATCGGGAGGAGAGGGAAATTGTTGTAGGGGTGGGAGAGGACGGGACGAAGGGATGGGAGGACGTAAGACGGGAGTCGGAACCTTACGGTTCTTTTAGGTAGTAGAGATTGTGGAAACGACCATGTTATGACAACATCAAAGCATGACTATATGGGAAGAACAATTCTGGCATGAAGCACGACCGCCATATCGGCCTTGTCACCGACGCATCAACCCACAGTGTACTCCTCCACCCCTCGCTCTTGCGTTGAGATGAGTCGAAGTACCGGGGCAACACACTTCTGCTCATTATGTCGCAATGCCACTATGGTTCAACACTATGCTTTGGGTACCAGTAGGAGGGAGACCGAGAGTACTCATTAACGACCTGAACATGGACGCGCGATGCAAGGCCATCAAGAGCGGCGACGAACCGGTGCTTGCAACGATGAGGGACAATGCAACAAGGGTTCAGTTTGTAGCATACTAGGAGAGGGCAGAATCCAGAGAGATCCGATGGTGGGCTCAAATATGAAAATAGAGGGGGAAACCCGATCGGTGTTATATTCTATATACCCCATCCATTCAACTAAATATTGACCATAAATTGGACTAAACAAATGCGGGTTATACGTGACAAAAATTATATCGTTGGATTATATTCAAAAGAAGTTTCGGTAGTACAATTTACGGACTCACAATGAGATTATATTGTTCTGATTTATGGTCAAAGTTGAATTTTGAGATGTGTGCCCGTGTTATTGAAGGATAGTTGTCACTCAAACATGTGCTATTTTACCGAGGCTAAGAAATAACCAAAATGCAGAGGTAGGTTTTTTTATATTTCATCAAGCTCCTAAAATACGTAACGTAATTACCAGGAGAGAGCTTCCCCACTCCTTAAACAGCGAACGCCCTTTTTTCCTCCACCCAGACGGCCACACCTGCTGGTGCCGGGGGAGCCACCACCAACACCAACACCAAGAAGCGGCGGGCGGAGAGGGGAGAGGAGAGGAGAGCGCTAGCGGCGGAAATGGCGGCGGCGCCGCCCAAGGCCTGGAAGGCGGAGTACGCCAAGTCTGGGCGGTCCTCGTGCAAGTCCTGCAAGTCCCCCATTGCCAAGGACGCGCTCCGCCTCGGCAAGATGGTGCAGGCCACCCAGTTCGACGGCTTCATGCCCGTGCGTAATACCGTCCCCCTCCTCCCCATCCCCTTCCTCCATCCCGCCCCTCCCCGCCATGAATCCCCATTCGTCCCGCGGGCGGATCTATCTTTGGCCGACCCCTCGCGGCCCCGCGGGGGGTAGGGTTTTGGGGCGGTTTAGCGTTCTTGTTTTTTCTACTGGTGGGTCGAGGCCCCCGATTGGATTGGATTCGGATGAATCCATCCGAATCCGATGGCGGCTTCGTGTGCGGCATCCAGTGAGTCGATCTGACGGGTTCGGTTTTCGTCTGATTTCTGAACCTGACTCGTTCTTGATGGTGATTTGGTGAGCCTGTTCTGACTGATTAGAACACCCCCTTTGTAATGCGTAGCCTGTGATGATTGGAACACAACACACCCTTCGCAATGCGGGGCTCGAAATGCAGTTCTGTATGCTTCGATTTCAGCACCGGGTGCCCGCCGCTCCGTTATCTGTCGATTTGTAATATCCTTTTTTGCTCATTCCATTGCTGAAAAGAACTCCTGAAACAGCTATTGTTCTGGCATGTAAAATGCAGGCTTTGAATCTTATGCCTGCGATGAATTTGATATATGTTTCTGTTTATGCTATATGCCTTTCTGCATCACCAGCCGTAGGCTGCTCTAGGTTCTTATGTCGTGAGGTAACCATTAACTGTTTAATTGTTGATTTAAGCGACGAAGTCCATCTAAACTGCATAATAATTTGGTACACCATCAGCATGGTGCCCTTTGCAATGTGTCTAAAGTAGTAAAATCCAGTGCCAGGTTAGATAATAGTTTGGACATCTTATTTTTGTGAGATATGTCTGGATATGATTCTGTGCTTGTTTGGACTTTGAACCATTTTATGATACAAGTGTGATAAGCATTGCTTAGGCCCTCCACTATGTAGGCCAAAAGCGGTGCCAAATTCACCTTTACTTCATTTGGCACCGGTGCTCTCCATTGCCCAGCCGCTGCCATAAATTTTTTTCTGGGAACCAGAGCATCTACTTGCTCCGATGCCAGAACCAACAAAGCAATAAACTAAGCCTGACGCTCAAGGGAAGAAGCGGCAGTGAGCCAGGAGCAAGACGCTGCTAGTGGGGCAACTGTTGCTGATATATACTTGTTTTTATGTGTGGGTCTGACCCCCAATCGATGCCCAATTCTTTGATTCTTTCACAGTGTGCGGGCGGTGCTAAATATATTTCATCTGGCATCATCGTCTGCGTGGCATACTTTTCAGAGTTGTGGCATCGAACACACTGTGGAAGGCCTTATAAGCCATTTCACTTATACGATTCCCATTAGCATTTTTTAACTGTCAGGCAACTGCAGTTCTCATCTATTCATTACTGGTCTTCATAGTACTAGTGGGTTCTTAACTGTTGTGATTCTATAACTGTTTGCTTTGGTTTGGCTCATGTGGACACTCTTAACTGTTTTCACTGGGAGAACGCTATATTATGTAGGGAAATTAAGGCGACTCTTGGTTATTTCCTGGTTCTAAAAGTCACATTATCTGATCATTTTTTCTAACATGGATAGCTTGCTTAGCATTATGTTTTCTGTATTATTCAGAGGGTTATGGATGGGTACAGCATCTATGTCTCAGTGATGTTCTGATAGACTCTGTGTTTTTCTGGAATTTTATGTCTAGCATTTGGTTGGTGATTGGTCGGTTTTTCCAAGAGGCAGAGGAAAATACGATGCCTTGTGCCAACTTATATCACCAATGCAGTTTTGCTAATTTACACATCTATTTATAATTTATATTTCCATGTTTTCTCTTTTCCAGATGTGGAACCATGCCAAATGCATCCTCAACAAGAAAAACCAGATAAAATCGTATGTAACTATGTCTCTTACTCATCAACTGGATTTTAGGCTTCAGTATTCAGCCTGTTAGTTTATCCAACTCTTGTATCTGAGTATAAACCATGGAAAATTTAACTCTACTCTTAACTTCTGACCAGTGTTGATGATGTTGAAGGAATAGATGCACTTAGGTGGGATGACCAAGAGAAGATAAGAAACTATGCTGCAAATTCCTCGACTACTTCAACTGCAACTGCAACTGCAAGTTCCACAGCTCCTATTTCTGACAAATGTGCTATTGAGGTTGCTCAATCTGCCCGTGCTTCCTGTAGACGGTGCAGTGAAAAGATTGCAAAAGGCACTGTACGTATTTGTTGACCAATTGTTTCGCGCATTTCTTTTTGTTGTGAATATAACTTTATTAGTCTCACGTGAATCCAGGAATTTATACTTACTAGTGCTTGTGTATAAAATGTTTATGGTCCTAAACAGAGTCCTCCTTATGGTCAATAATCTTAATGTGTTGTTCTTATTTCTCACTTACTAGTGACTGTATATAGAGACATGAGTTTCACATTCTTGAATAAATCTTAATGCAATTGCATACAACTGTCACATAATTATAGTACTACCATATTTCTAGTTCTAGTTCTAATCACCTGACACCTATTGGGGGATATGTCGTAGTCTCCCAAACCTAAACTTGTTCTTGATTTTTTGAACTCAGAGATTAGAACTGTTCTATATATGGCTTTGAAACACATGAACATGGCACATTGTTTCTCTGTCGAAAAAGAACATGGCACATTGTTTTCTGTACCCTATCTGTGACCAAGTCAGACTGCAGATCAGGTTGCAGATAATGCCCAAGCTTTTATTATCCTGCTGTGTCGGAATCTGGAATTACTGTAATATCCTGTAAAGGCAGCAACATGGTATCCTGTTATGTAAAAATTCTCTGCTACTAGCATGCTAGGTCACCTGCAAAATAAGTTCTGAAAAGTAGGAATTGGTAAAGCAAATGATTGTGTTGATTTATATTCTTTTTCGTACATGGAATTCCTGATTTTGTGCTAGATTGATTGATGAACGATATGCATTTCTTTGATTTCTAGAGTCCAAATCAAAAGATTCTATGGTCTAGAAGTATATGTTTGATTTGTAATCTTTCATTTAGCTCACCAAGTATAAAGAGATACTAACATTTAATACCAGTGGTAGGGTAAATTATGCTGTGAAATTATGTTATTTGTCTTGACTCTTAAATTGTGTCTGTAACAGTTTGCTATGTTGATTAGGTTCGTGTTTCATCTAAACTTGATGGTCAAGGTTGGTATCATGTTAGTTGTTTCTTGGAAATGTCCCCAACTGCAAGTGTTGAGAAATTCCCAGGCTGGGAGACCTTGTCGCACGATGATAGAGGAGCTATTATTGATGTTGTTAAGAAAGGTGCTGCCAGCAAACGTAAGCATGGAGATCATAGTTTTTCGTTCCTTTTTTTTAACATAATTTGATAATCTGACTTGTTGTATTTGTAATTGTCATCAAGAAGAAACATCTTCGAAGGGCTCCAAGCGCAAGATTGGTGACATTGATATGCGTAACTCCAAAGCTCCGAACTTAGATGGAAGTACATCTGAAGGTGCTGCACGAAGCAAAGGAAAACTTGTTGTACCATGTGAGCCCAATTCTAGTTCTGCTGATCTGCACCAAAAGCTTAAAGAGCAGAGTGACACGCTTTGGAAGTTGAAGGATGAACTCAAAAAGCATGTTTCAACTGCTGAGCTGAGGGATATGCTTGAAGTTAATGAGCAAGATCCATCTGGACCAGAGCGGGATCTATTGGAACGGTGGTAATGTTCTTTTGCCATTTTTCTTTTCTTGATGGATTTTCATCTAATCGCAAATTATTTTACTTGTTGTCATGTGCTAAACTCGGTAAGGTCCAGAGACTGGGATAGGGCACTCGCCTCTGGCCATGACTTGGGCAAGGGGCTAGGTTCATGCCTATGCCATACAAGCAGTTCTTTGTGTTGTTAGAATAAGTTAGAATTATAACTATATGACACTTAGTGCTTGTAGAGGAAGTGGAAACTTGTACAAGCGGATCTTTTTGCTAGTGATGATTTTTGTGCTTGTTTTCTGGATCCCAAATCCTGGTGCTGACCTGCTGGTACCAGGAATCTGATGGGGCTTGTTTTCGAGATATTAGGCGCTATTTTGAAGGAACTTATGGTCAAATACTATTTAGAGGTAAAGGGGAATAACATTTCTTCTTTAGAATAGGGAAGAAAAACACTTAAACCAAATTTGGTAGGAAGCAAGATGGCGTTCTATTGGTTATTATTCTACTGGTTGGGTCATAGGGTATTTACCAAAGCAGAAGAGTCGAACCTCGCTTGCTTTAGTTGTTTTTTATGTGCTAATAAGCTCTGTCTGCTCCTGGCTGGCTACCTTAATATTTTGGATCATGGCTATCTTAATGCTTGACAAACCATCTCTTTAGATTCCCTGCCTGGTGTACTAATGATTCTAGTTTTCACTCAAATTTGTAATCCGTTCCTATTTACACGCGTCTTTGTATTTTGTGATTTAACTTTGACCAGTAAAATATGAGTCATGTGTCATAAAACTTATACAGTTGGAAACTTTTTCTAATACAAATTGAATGCTGTAATTTTTGTGGCACACAACCCATGGTATATTGGTCAAATTGATGGTCAAACTTGAGGGGGAATTGGATACATTTAACTAAAAAGGGCAACCTGGTGCATGTAGCTCCCGCTTGCGCAGGGTCCAGGGAAGGGTCCGACCACTTTGGGTCTATAGTACGCAGCCTTTCCCTACATTTCTGTAAGAGGCTGTTTCCAGGACTTGAACCCATGACCTCATGGTCACAAGGCAGCAGCTTTACCACTGCGCCAAGGCGAATTGGATACATTTAACTACAGCAACTATTTTTGAGTGAAATGCAACATGAGGTCAGATGGTCACCCACCTACACCCAACATGATTATATAGCCAAACCAGCACAATCATGTGGCTAACTGTTGATTATGTGTTATAGATGGGGACATCTATTACTTGTCTAATGCTAAGTATTGCAACTATTGAACCAATATTATACGTTCTATAAAGCAATTCTAATTGATCAACAAAAATAAGTTCAATAATTATGGGGTTTAATTGACCTCAAAAGCCACATTAAGTTTTCTGACTCGTACTTTCTGTGTTCCAAATTAATTGAAGTACTAGCTTTGTCCTAAGTCAGACTTCTCCATATTTGACCAAGTTTATAGAAAAATGTGCATATTATGAAGAATTTAATAAAGTTAATTTGATGTTGTAGATGTTGATATATTTTTCTGTAGACCTGGTCAAACTTAAAGAAGTTAGACTTGGGACAAAGCTAGAACTTCAATTAATTTGGAACAGAGGAAGTAGCTTTTAGTGGAGCTGAAGAGCTCTGAAACAAGGCCTGGTATCCTGCTGAAGTATTGTCGAATTTTGACTACACTGACCTGCCAGCCTGTGGCATTGCTCTTTCTGTCGTACTTCACAGTATTCAGATGCTTCACTTTTTATAATGTCTCATGGTTCTATTTTTTTATAACATTTTTGTTCTCTCGCAGTGCTGATGGGATGCTGTTTGGAGCGTTGGGCACTTGCCCAGTCTGTAATAGCTGCCTATACTATTATGGTGGTCACTATCAGTGCAATGGCCATGTTTCAGAGTGGTCCAAATGTACCTACATGACAACAGAACCTGTACGCATGAAGAAAAAATGGAAAATTCCTGATGAAATAAAGAATGATTATCTTACAAAGGTAGGGTATCTTGGAGCTTCTCAAGCTCAAGTATTTACTTTTCGTGTTAAGAGCAGCGTCTTGTAGCTAATGTGGGATTCGTCCAAGGACCAAAAGAACCATATATTTAGGTAAATAATTAAGTGCTTCCCAGAGGTAGATATTATTTTTGGAGGGGAAATTATGCATTATTGGGAACATTGTGCTCCATGGTTAGAACTTGTAAGGGCACCCAATGGTTGGACCCTCCCGGCCAACCAACTTTGTCCCGGGTTCATATAGTTCCCAAGCCCAACTTCTGTTTTCTCAGAAAAAAAACAAACTAGAAACTCCTGTGATCGAATTAACAGTAGGCACCACTCACTAGCAGAAAATAACTGCATCTTAATTTTCTGCAGTTGAAGGTTAATAAACATGTTTGTCTTGCAGTGGTTCAAGTCTCAAAAGGTTAAAAAACCAGAGCGAGTTCTTCCCCCAATTTCACCTCAGAAGTCTGTAGGTCAATCACCTCAGCAGTCTCTCGTCGGTGAAGCATTGGATAAGTTGAGAGTTTGTATAGTAGGACAATCTAAAGATGTAGCTGTAAGTAATCTTCATTAAATTTTTTGTACATTATATTTTTAGGTTATTTTTCTGTTTTGCTTGCCTTTTTGGTTACATCCTACGTAAAATCTCTATTAGTTTAAAGTAGGTGCAAAATTAATTGCGTGAATCTCTAGTCTTTGTTGAGTTGCATCTATGCAAGTATGCATCCTTGCTGAAGTGGTATGCATCATGATTGCTTCAGTAAATTTGTGTCAAGGGATACTTAGGCTCATTTTGCTGTCACTGAATATGCTATGTATGCTGTGCCTAATTTATAATCTTTTGTGGAAAAGTAGCCTCCAAAATAGGCAGAGGCTGGTTAGCCAAAAGATTAAATGGGCATAAGTAACAGAGCCTTACTATATTGTACCAGAGAACCAGTTTATGCACACGCTGCATGGTTTGTCTATGAAAAAACTGAAAACGTGGAAAGTACTACCTCTGATCCAAAATGTAAGTCCTTTAAGCATTTTTACCGATGAAACATTTCTAGATTTTACTATCTAGAGGAGAAGAACTACTAGCATCCAAAACATCAGATGAAATATACCTTTACAGTTCATGATTATTTTTATTTGAGGCACAAATCTGCACAGAAATTGATCTTCAATGTATCATTGAAGAACGTGTCAGTGTCCTAAAAGGCTTACATTTTGGATTGGAGGGAGTACTCATTACTCAACTGACCTCTGGTATTTTGAAGTAGTTTTCTGATAGTTTTTGAGCTGTTAGTTCTCTTGAATGCACTAATGTCCTGAAAGACAGATAGCTGTGTGTCATTTGTTTCTTTATGTTTCTCAACATTTTCTCCAATTTACATTATATTCGATATTCGTCGGAATATGAAGAGTTAGCTTGTTAGACCATCTCTAATCCTGCATCGATTCAAAGAGAAAAAAAGCAAGGCTTTGAATCTGTGAGCCTTTTCCTCCAATGTATAGCTTTGATGGCTGGGGACTCACCTTATAATAAAGAGAAGGAATAAATTGATGCCTGCTTTGTTCTTCCTTGGATTTGCTGCAACTTCAAGCATCAGTCCCTTTGAACCGCTTTCTGCAGTGTATCTATCCAGCTCTATACTTCCTCCGAATCACTTTTCTGCAACACTGGTCTTAGAATGTAACATGAGCAAAAGGAGCAAGGTGTTGAATTCATGTAAAACCATTTCTTGTCAGATTCGAGGGTCAAATTGCCTCATGTGATCTGGCTCCTTTATTTCATATCAGATGGATACTATAGGTTGTATATCTAGTTGCATGTGACACCCAGTTTGTTTTCTCTGTTTTTTTATTTGTTGTAATTAGGCAATTATTGTTTGTTTCAAATGCTCTTTACAAGTTTTATATTTATTTAATGAGCTGAACTCTTGTAGGATGAGTGGAAGCAGAAGCTTAAACTTGCTGGTGCCCACTTCAGTCCCAGGGTTACCAAAGGTTTTTCTTTGCATATATGAACTTCTTTTACAATTGGATTTGTATAGCATTGGAACCTAGATTTCCTTGTGCAACATATATGGATAACTGAGGTAATTGTTTTGTGGAGTAGGGATAAAGGGAAGGGGCTATCTTATGACTATTCTTATGTCAATATGGATTGGTGCCCGGTTGGCTATACCACCCTTAGATCCAACTATCCAACATCACTTCATGCTTTGAGATTCTTATATTTTCACCATCTTCACTGTAGCACACCCTCATGTCACACCATAATAAAGACACTTCTGTAGCGAGGCCTTGGTTTGACTACCACTTAATTGATAGTTCATATTCAGTCCCTAGCATGCACAGATTAGTTTATCACAGAGTGCAATGCTGCATTGTGCAGAGAAATAAAATATGCGACCCTCAGCATGAGTCCATGGTCTGGGTTCGACTACTAACTTAGTCTTCAGTTTATTTTCAATATCTGGTAGTGCATAATATGAGCTGAGTACAGATTGGCTCATCACGGAGGGTGCAATGCTGTATTTTGTATAGACATAAAATACGTGAACCTCAAAGCACGAAGTTATTGCACTATGCTTATGTTTACCTGCATTGCAGATATTAATTGTGTAGTTTCATGTGGCGGGCTTGATAACGAGAGTGCTGAAGTCAGGAAAGCTAGGTCTCACATTTTACCCTATCCATTGTTTTTCAATCATAATTTGGCATGTTCTTTTTGCTCTATTGCTGAGGTTGGAATATCATGTTATATATATGAATTTGTTTGCAGGAGGCAGAAGATACCAATCGTCAGAGAAGATTACCTTGGAGAATGCATTAGAAAAAACAGGGTGCTTCCATTTGATTTATACAAAGTAGCGACTATGTTGGAGGAGTCATCAAAAGGTAGCACGGTCACTGTTAAAGTTAAGGGCCGAAGTGCTGTTCATGAGGCTTCCGGTCTGCAAGATACGGGCCATATTCTGGAAAATGGCAAAAGCATTTACAATACAACCTTAAACATTTCTGACATGACACAAGGTGTTAACAGGCAAGGTTTTTGCTCATAATCTTTTTTTGAGGGTTTGCTCATAATATTTCGTTGCAAATTCGTGACATACATTTTGAGTTAGGGTGATTGCGAATAGTGCGTACTGGTTAGGGCACTTTTAGACTTCTAATAAATCCCGCAACAAGTTTTTTCTCTCATATACCCCCTACAAGCTTTCCATTCCAAATATCCTCTTTCGACTGCAGTATCCTTCAATTTTAATGAGTCCCACCTGAACTTTAGTGGTTAGGAGAAATATACAATAACCGTGAAGCAAGTAAGCAACTATCTTATTTGTGTATGTATCCAGGCTATAGGAATTGGAGGTAGTTAATCTAATGGGTAATAAATCTGAGTTACTATTCACATTTTATTTTTGTTGTGGTTCCTCGAATTCAATTTGAGTTTATCTAAAACTTAGAGGATGGTTTTAATACTTTGTACTCCAGACTTTCTTCTCATCCACACAAGGTTTATCATACATGGGCATTTTAGAATGACCGACTAACTAGCCTGAACAGGCTCAAAATCAGACCAAAGGGTTGAGGATAATTTCGTCAATGCCTCACAATGGCACGACAGTTGCATGTGATTTGTAGTCTAGGGAACATCACCTCAGATCACCAAGTCGATTTTGACATGATTTACCCCCCTTGTGTGGGTTATATCCCTACTCCTGCCTCGATTAGTAGTATTATATGGAAAAAGTGCACAATATTGGTTACAAAAGGGGGATCTGCCGAGTTGGTAGGCAACTTGGTAGGCAACTCGCCGAGCTACGATAATCAATCTGGGCAATAGGCGCCATAATCACTAGGGTTTCTATGGATCTAGATTGCTTGGTCCCTTTCTGGGGTCCTCGGCACCTTTATATAGCTCCTGGATGGCGGTAATCTTCCTTCTCCTTTATATAGCCTCTTTCGTACACGCGTAGGGAGTTTGGATCGGATACAAGTAGAACTTGTGACCTCTTCCTACGCAAGGTTTCCTTATCTTCCACCTGTAATATACACCCTCTAGGTTAGTGGTCCTTTATATCGGTTTCCAAGTCCCATATACACCAAGGCCCGTACGGCCCGCTTGTACAGTTTGCACGGCACTGGGATACGGTAAGCTGGCTTACCGCCAAAGGGTAGGGTAATAACCAGCTAAACAAAGAAACCGTAGCAGAATGGCAGGAGGTTGGGTGCTACCACCTCGGTCATCTTCCTCGTATGAGCTCAGTTCTTGTTAACATTGTCACCATGGAACTTTTATCGATCACCATCATAAATGTCGTCGCATTGCTTTTGCCATCACAGTTGGCATTGATGTCAGCGTCACGTCTCCGGTTGATCATGTTGAGGGATGGCGGCTGCCGGTGGGATTTGTAGTAGGCTCAAAGGGAAATATACAGACTATGTAGCACAGTACACATATGGATACAGGGACACCAGAAAATAGTATTTATCAAACATAGGCTTATCGGGATACTTATTTAGGTATATAGTGAAAAGAACATACCATGTTGTATAATTGTTTATATGTTTTAGAGGAGAGAAGATGAGAGTACTGCATGTTTCCTCCTCCAGTCCTTTTCATTGGCGAATGATGTTGATCTCCTCAGTCCTCACACCTTGATTATGGTTCCTGTTCCTGTCGGAGATTGGTCTCCAGGAACATACACACTATTACATTAGGAAAATAACTAATTCTGCTGTTGCTACATTATATAGGTTATTGCTTGCCTTACTTCATCTCTTACAATTTGCTTTTTTGTTTCTGAAGCTACTATATACTTCAGATCATCGAAGAGGATGATGGGAGTGAATGCTATGTATTTCGAAAGTGGGGACGAGTTGGCAGTGAAAAGATTGGTGGAAAGAAACTGGAGGAGATGTCAAAAACTGACGCAATACGTGAATTTAAAAGATTATTTCTGGAAAAGACTGGAAACCCCTGGGAAGCATGGGAACAAAAAACAAATTTTCAGAAGCAGCCTGGGAGATTTTATCCACTTGACATTGTATGTTGTTGGAAAAAAAAGTTTGTTCACATAGTTTTATTTCTCCTTTTTGTGGATTCGAACTGATGATGTGATATACATTATTGTAGGATTACGGAGTAAGGGAAGCACCAAAACGGAAAGACATGAGCAAAATGAAAAGTTCACTTGCACCTCAGGTGCTGGAACTCATGATGATGCTTTTCAATGTTGAAACATATAGGTGTGCCTCAACTTTCTTGTTCAAGGAATTGCTTCCATCCATGTCTTCTTATTATTGAAGTCATTATTCACGTTATTCTGTTCCAGGGCTGCTATGATGGAATTTGAAATCAATATGGCAGAAATGCCCCTTGGGAAATTAAGCAAGGAAAATATCCAGAAAGGTCTATCTTGATCATGAGGAAGCCATTTATTTTTGTTATCATATAATGTAATTATGGTTCGAAGATTCTTATCTGCATTGCGTGCAGGATTTGAAGCATTAACTGAGATACAGAATCTACTGGATGACACTGGCAATCAAGAACTAGCTCTTAGAGAGAGCTTGATTGTTGCTGCAAGCAATCGTTTCTTCACTCTTATTCCTTCTGTTCATCCACATATTATACGTGATAAGGATGACTTGACAATGAAAGTATGTGCCTGTTGCCTTGCATTGTATTCCTGTCAGTTGTCCAAAGTATCCTATCCCTATTCGCACTTCCTAATTCATGCCAACTTATTCATATGGATGTACGAATGTTCAAATTTGCAAAGAATTATCCTATTACAGTGACGCGCAACTAGGGTTCATTGCTATGTAGCTGGAGAATGAGACATTTGCCTTAACGCTTAGATGAAATCAAAAGAAGAAAAACATGTTCTTTTTAAATCCTATTCTAACAGAGCCACAAATGAAACAAACTCCTATAGGTGAAAACAAAACTGATCATGGTGCTGCTAGTCATGGTGCAAATTCTCAATGCCTCACACATTTTGCAAGGATTTATGAGATGTTATAATGCAATACAGACAATTATTTTTATTCTTCACATGTTTCTTGTCATTTGATTATCTTGATTCTTGAGTTTCTTCTCATGTACCTGTTTTCTTTGATTATATGACCTGAGTTATGTTATACCTAGCTGATTTGTAGCTTTTGCACAGGCGAAAATGCTTGAAGCTCTTCAGGATATTGAAATTGCTTCTAAACTAGTTGGTTTTGATGGTGACAATGATGAATCTCTTGATGATAAGTACAAAAAACTTCATTGTGACATCACCCCGCTAGCTCATGATAGTGAAGATTACAAGCTGGTCGAGAAATATCTTCTCAACACACATGCTCCGACTCACAAGGTATGCAATTTCTTGTGTATAAAATAATACTTTGTTTCTGTGTAGGTAGAATACAGAAGACTACCGTCTCTTCTCTTCTGTATACATACATGCTGACATGTGCTTTATTTTGCTTTGAAGGACTGGTCATTGGAATTAGAGGAAGTTTATGTGCTTGATCGAGATGGGGAAGGCAGCAAGTACTCAAGATATAAAAATAATCTCCATAACAAGATGCTATTATGGCATGGTAAGTAATTACTTTGAACTACGCAAAGCATATAGTTTGCGGCAATATTTCGAAGGTATTTAAGTTGGAAGCTTCTGCCCATGCTGCTTTTCTGCTCTTAGAGTTGGATGGCTAAATCTGGGTTGGATTAACAAATAGTTTCCAGGCAATCAATGATTCTAAATGCTTTCCCTTATTATTTTGAGCACTTGTATGATTGCATTATGTTAGGTTACAGGTGTTTAGTTTCTTTGCTTGTCTTTACAGAATTATTTTTTCTTTCCTGCCATCTCATGGCCGTAAAACTCAATTTTTGTAGGTTCAAGGCTGACAAATTTTATTGGAATTCTTAGTCAAGGACTAAGGATAGCACCTCCTGAGGCTCCTGTGACAGGCTATATGGTTTGCTCTTTATTCACTTTATACATTTTATATGCTGTAACTCTGCTAAACTATATGTTGAATTTAATAACATGTTGTTTCTTTCACTTGTTGAAAGTTTGGCAAAGGCCTCTACTTTGCAGATTTAGTAAGCAAGAGTGCACAGTATTGTTATGTGGATAGAAAAAATCCGACTGGCTTGATGCTTCTTTCTGAGGTTGCTCTAGGAGACATGCATGAACTGAAAAAGGCCACGGTGAGATACAAAATATCTTGGTATTCAAAGGGCAAATTTAATTGCTCATGCTGACTTTTGACCTTGCACCAGAAGTAACCATGTGTGATTTGATGCTGTGTCAGCTATTTTTCTAGATTCTTGTAATCTAACTTTCTGAATATGTTTCTGTTACGATGTTCATTGCTTATCAAAATTTCAGCAAAAAGAAAGAAACTCAATGAGATAGCAACTAGGCCGGCATTGTTCCCCAATGCATTGCACTATTGCTCAACATAAAAGCTTCAGTTTTTTGCATGTTTATTCTGATTTAGCATCTGTACTTGGTACTTATTGTGCAGCCAATGGACAAACCTCCAAGAGGAAAGCATTCGACCAAGGGCTTAGGAAAAACTGTGCCGCTAGAGTCGGAGTTTGTGAAATGGAGGGATGATATCGTCGTGCCTTGTGGCAAGCCAGTGCCAGCATCTATCAGGGCATCTGAGCTTCTGTACAACGAGTATATAGTCTACAACACAGCCCAGGTTTGTTGAGCCTACTTGTTATGCTACCGCAGTTACAGGAATTTGCTGCTCATCTTGAATGAAACCTTCTTCTCCTTTGGCAGGTGAAGATGCAGTTCTTGTTGAAGGTCAGATTCCGTCACAAGCGTTGATTGGGAACCTAGGAGAGTAGAGTTGGACTGTTAGTTGAAGAATCTTTCTTTGGTGTCAGTACTCAGTAGCTAGTCTGCACTGTTGCATTTGCAATGGCATCGGTGAACTATTCCGCAGCTTAAGATAGGTTGTGCCGCTCTCGCATTTGATCCGTTTTGGGAATATGGCATGGGCATCGGGTGTGAGTGGCGCGAGTAACCCCCCGCATTGTTGTGGCCTGTCTGCAGTATGCTTTGCACGTACTTATATTTCAACTTAAATCGATGCTGTACTATTAGAGGTAGAGAACCAACCGTGTGAAAACGTGTGCACACACACACACAACACACACTTTGGCAATTGTCCAAAGTAACGGTTGCAATTGGATCTCCCATGAGTGTTGCAGATCGAAAAATTGGTGCGAACGGTAAATTCTGTCAGTCTTGGCCGCCTGATCGTCGACAGTCTAGAGTGCAGCTTTCCTTCAGAGTCTTGGTCGTCTGATCAGACGGTCTAGAGTGCAACTTACCGGTCTGGTCATGACAACCACCCTCATTTTGAGTCTGGTTATGACGATCACCCTCGGTTTGAGTCTGTCTGAGGCCCCTTGAGTCTAAATTTTTTTACTTTCCCAGCCAAATAAGGATGCTCCCAAGTCTGGAAGGTTTCCACATGATTGGGCCGTGGTGCTAACCTCCACCTGCTGTCCCCTTCACAACCCTTCTCTGTCAAAGCTTCAGGCTTCGAACCCCCTGGATTCCCGGCACGGTTTGGTCTTGCATCCATCCGTGCTCCACCGTTCAGTCAGAGTTCTGCCTGCCGCTGAGGAATTAGGACGTCTGCTTGTCCTTGCACTACAACTTGAATTTCCAATGTATCCCATTTCTAAAACATGTCCCCGTTTAGTTGTTGGAGCCCACTCTTTGTATTGGTCGTATGCAATGGTTACACATCTACTGTAGTTTCGAGCATTGGTTATGCTACATGAGGGAGCTAGTTATTTATAGATATGGTTTAAGTGAGACTTCATTGCTTCATCAAACTTCACAGGTTTGCCTTTTATTTTCTTCTTTTAAGTGTACTCATAGTTGTTGAGGAATTAATATCTCTCAGGCTCATCCGATATATGCAGCTTTGACATGCCACAAGTTGGGATCCATCTTGGTTACGAAAATAGGGTCCATATGTCTACAAACAAAACTATAATGTCTCCAGTCGCTTCTCTCTCCATTGCCTGCCAAAATATCTTCTTTCACCTGCAGAAGCTCATTTTTTTTGTATCAAAATATTTCTCTACGCCGTGGGTGCTCTCAAACCATTACATACCAGCAACCTAGGCTAATGGAGCTTGCTAAAAGGACAAATAACTAACTAATCTTTGTGATTGAACTGACTGCCACTTCTTGGGGTTTATTGGTTTTCTCCCCGGAACGACCAGAAACAAATTATTGTTGCACCAAACACATGCGTATAAATGAACAAAATATTTGAATCCAAATGATTGCGGAATATCAGTTTGTTATTGATACTAATCAATACAGACTCATAAATGGTTCCTTTGGTTTGATTATGAATCTTTGCGTATTCTATGTAATCATTCACGGCTATATGTAGTAACCAGGCGTGTCTATGCAAGGCTTGTGAGATGCACCCCACTATGCTATCTGGGGTTGAATAATGATGTTCTTGCTTTATAATCACATTTATCCTTATCTTCTGACCTTATTAAAACCAAGAGTTTGAGCCCTACATATTTCATTACTACAGAAATCAAAGTTCTTGCATCAAATATAGAAACACAACACCTACCACACATTCGAGTATAATAGCATTACTTCACGAGGCCCCAACAAAGGACACATGTACTACTACATAATTCAATTTTTAAAACTACAATACCAAATAACTTCTTTTGATATACTGAAATAACTACTAGGATTTTCTCTTCATAGACTACAGAGAGGAAGACCACATGCTGTATTGGTTTATCAACAGAGGCCTTTTTCCTCCAGCAACTTAGAAGCCCTTCCTTGCAACCTGATCCAAATAGCTTTGCCCAACACTAGATTTACTAACATGTAGATGTAATGAGCCCTAGACTAATATCAGTGATGGTGTGCTTGAATTAAATAGAAAACATGTATCATAGACCTGTATTTGGCATCGTTCGTCGTTTAAAAATGTGTTCATACGAATGTTTTAACTCGTACATGCACAATGCACAGGCGCCTGCTTTGTTCTTGTTGGTAGCAAACCTCATGAAACAAATTAAGCATCATAGTATCTCTCGTTTAGATGACTATTCTATCTCTCCGAACATGAAGGGCCTTTTTTTGAACTCATATATTAATTAACCAACAGAGTTATTACAATCACTCATTACAAAATTCATCACACAGGCCGGAACATCATTAACAAGAATACCGTCTGATCTATTGTCAAAACTATACTTAGCAATAAGATGAGCCACCATATTGGCTGAACGGTTAATCTTTGAAATTTTGACCCTATGTAGCATCTTGGAGATGCTCACTGCTTCATTCTTCAAATCAAATAGCGCTGACCTGTCAAAACTTTCCTTTGCAAGAGACGTAGCAACAAACACACAGTCAGTCTCTAAAATTATAGGATTGTGGAGCATGATACCTATATAGAGACTAACAATGCAAGCCCGGAGTTTCGCTTCCTCCGCGCTTTTACAACGCCCAATGAAATCCCAAGAGGAAACAATGACATTTCCAGAGGAGTCCCTAGCCAGTAGCCACCAAACCCACACTTGCAGCGCTAATGCTCTCCACAAAGCTTGCGTCCACATTTATCTTGATATAATCCAAAGGAGAGGGTTGCCAAGCCACCTGAGTTCCCAAAGTATTAGGAGCATTGCCAAGACACTTGTAGGGCTTATTTGGTTGGTGTCCTCGCCGTGTTGCGCCTTGCCTGCTGGAGCATCGCATGGATCTGTTGGGAGCTCTTTTGGTTGTTGCCGTCAAATGAAAACTTGCTTGCCGAGGCATCCACACATCTTGATTATCCTAGAAGTGTTTGATTTGGAGCTCACAGATGTGTGATTGGAACTTTGGCATCAGTCTAGATAGTGATTGGAGGAAACAACAACGACATTACAACGATGCTGCATCCGGTGGAGGAGAAGCTCCACTCTTTGAGATGAAACTCTCCCTTGTGTACTGTGCGAAAGCTATGACTACTAGCCACATAGATGAGGTCCAGTACCCTGCTAGAGCTCAACCTGTCGTTGCAAGGAATCTTGACATGTCCTCATCATTAATCTCTAACTCAAATTTCTAATGTATCCCATTTCTCCACATTCGATCGCTGGTGCCACTCATAGTGTCGGTTATTTTTGCTGTCTCCATAGACTTGTTCATACTATATGCACTGTCACACACCTCTATTGTAGTTTGAGCACTGCTTCTTTGACATCAGGTGAACAAGTATTTATACACATGGTGTAAGTACAAACTCATTGCTTCATCAAACTTCACATGGCTACCTCTTTATTTTCTGTCCTTCAAGTGTAGTCATAGTTGTCAAGGGACTAACATCTCCAAGATGCATTACTGCATCCAATGTATCCATCCTTGACATGCCACAAGCTGGGCTCCTCCTTGGTTATGAAAATAGGGTCCATGAGGTTAAAAGATCTCTCCATGCAAACTACCGGTGGCACTCATCGTGTCAGCTATTTTTGCTCTCGCCATAGACTTCTCCTTATGCAGTTTCCTGACACATCTCCCTTGTAGTTTCGAGCATTGCTTTTACTACATAAAAGAAACTAGTTATCTATAGATAGGGTGTAAGTGCAAACTTCACGTGTCTGCCTGTTTATTTATTATTCTTCATTCAACTTTACACTTAGTTATGTATAAACTAACATCTATATGGTGCATTAGCGCATTCAGTATATGCAACCTTGACACGCCAAAAGTTGGACTCCATCTCGATTATGAAAGTAAGGTCCATGGGCTTAGAAATAAAACTATAAAGTTCCCAGACACTTCTCTCTCCATCGTCATCCCATACACCCTCATTCTTCTTGACAAGCTCGCATTGCTGTCATATCTTTTTGCTACAATGTGGCTTCTCTTACACACTTACATTTCAGAAACCTAGCATGGTTGGCGATGGCTCAAAGGAAGAAGAAACAAACTTTGTGATCCAACCAGCTGCCCCCAAATTTCTTAGGGTCTATTTTTTTTACTTGAGACGATCACAAACAAAAATACACATCACAAGAAACATGTCCATAAATGAACAAAAATCCTTAACCCAAATGATTGTGGAAATGTTATTCATCATTGACATTGATTATTATGTACACAAAATGGTTCCCATGGTTTGATACTAAATGAATGATTACCCAGTTTAATTATTTATGGCATTATATGTAGTCACCCCGCGTCTTTATACAAGGCTTATGAGACACACCACAGTGAAGTGAATAAGGGTGTTTTTATTTCTAATGAATTTGCATCCCAATGTCTTTGTGTACTATTTAAGAAGAAATAGTTCAAACTCTCCAATTTTCATTACAATAGCAATCAAAGTTCTTTCATCAATATAGAACCACAAATTATACCATACACCCGGACATAGCGTAACTAGCTAGGCCCCATGGAAAAACATAGGTGCCCATAAGTAACACAAAATAAGAGAACCAAAACTACCAAATAAACTCTATCCTCACAAGGACATAACTATTATGATCTTCTCTACATAAAATCCACAAAGAAAGACCACATGCTTGCATCCTTATCCTCAAGTAAAAGACCTCCATCCTTGAGCAGATGAGAATTCTTCCTTTACTACCCGGTCGAATTTATTTATCCCATGTTTTTTTGTTTTTTCGCTTCGCTTGCTTCATCTATAATATCATAGATCATCAATCTAATGGCCCATAGACTAATAGTGATGGTGTGCCTTGATTCAGTCTAAGAAGATATCATTGACCTATATTTGACAATCATTTTCCTTAAAGGACGAGCCACCAGATTCCAACAAC